TATATATACTTGGGATCATGTGAAACCAAAGGTTTTTCGTGAAACCGATAAGACCAATTCTTAACCCTTGAATTAGATCTACAATCTAAACATTCATAATAACAAAAAATGCCACGAGACTTCTCAATAATCACAAAATTGCCACCGTGCAACTTTATACCATTAGATAATTAGTTTATAAAGTTGATCAATGTACATAAATTGGTCTTACGGATCTCACGAAAAACCTTTGATCTCACGTGAACCCAACCCTATATATATATATATATATATATATATATATATATGTGTGTGTGACGTCTTTAATCCAATTAGTCAACATAGTCCTTGTAACGTGTTCACTCCTCATATTCGAGATAGAGTTCCTTTTCAATCTATTTAGGTTCAAATATATGCAAAAAGTCAAAAAAATCATAGTTTTAGAAGTCTATTGTTTGTGTCAAAAAATGACACCTATCGATACACTAACAAAACATTCTTCAAGCACGACTAATAACTGAGGATCATTTTTTTTTAATTTCTAAACATACTATCGATTTATCAATCATCTAAATCGATTGGATATATATGTTTTTTGTATTATAACTAAACCCGAAACCCAACCAACCCGAACCCCAAGCAATCCGAAATCCGAAAATTAGGGCTTGTTTCCCATACCCGAAATCCGATCGGGTTTTTGATTTTCCTACCCGAACCTTCCGACCCGCCCGATGCACACCCCTAATCGTATACCTTTAAAAGGAAGGCGCTTCCTACAAAAGAGGAAGCCATATCTCGTTTAAGATATGTGCAAATACCCAGAAATTTTTTTAATTGGTACTTCGAAAAATCATGAAAATTCTTTTGGTGAACCCAAAAACTTTGAAGTAATCAAACAAATACAATGATTTCATAGAAATCTCTTATCGAATTACGTCAGTGAAACCCCCTTTTCTAGTAAAGGTGTAGTCATCAATCTTAGTGAATCTGTCTTCATTTTTCTATCATTCTGTCTTATTTTGTTTTTTATTCTTTACTTCAAAGACGAGTTGAAATTCAAGTTTTCATTTGGTGCCGAGCTTATACTGTAACGTATGACAAAATTTAGCTTTAAAAGCATATATTAAAAATAAGGGGTATACTGTAAACGAGAAGATAAATACCAATAGTATATCAATATTTATATGGAAAACTTATTTTACGCTTAATAACTATCGTTTCAAATTATTGCAATGATACTGAAATATTTCCAGCATTTCCTTTTCAGGGATATTTCTTTTTCCCTTACCTTTCTTTGTGTTTTCTTTTTTCCCTCGATTTATAATTTGTCTTTACCTGTATCAGGAGATTCATCAATGATATATTTAATAGAATTTGAAGAAATAGCGATCTTGTAAGGAAATGTCGTGTTTTAGTTGTTTTTTTGTAACCGCTCAATAGCCAGAAGAATTTTTCTGAAAGCGCGTTTTAATCTCCCACGATATCTCATACGTCTTCACTCTGTTAGTTTTTCTCGTATATATAAAGTTACTCCATGATAAAGAAAAGGTTATTGTTCATCGTTTAGAAGCGTAGCCAATAACCCTCAACGTACCTTTTATCTACGCCATTGAAACCATGCTTCTTTTTTAGGGACTCTTAGGCCTTGTTTGCCTTTTCATTTCCAACTTTTAATTACCACTTATATCTGATCCGTTCAGACGTTTTAAAATTCAGACTGTTTGTTTTTCTATTATTTTCAGAGCCTCTTATCACTTGATAGAGTCTGAATAATAAGAGATAAACAAATATCTTAATTCCTCTTATTTCATCTTTTCTTTGATTCTCTTTGTCTATTGCTTCTTTCTCCACCAGGAACGCCACTGTCCTTTCATCACCCATGTGAAATGCACGTTCACACCTTCTCTCTCTCTATCTCTCTCCAAATCTCTCTCTCTCTCTCTCTCTCTATATATATATATATATAATTTCTGTACGTATAAGTTAGCTTAGAAGATTAATGTGAAACAAGATTTTACCGATTATCTATCATCTATCAAAAGTATAGATCTTTCCACAAACAAACTCAACTGCGGCATTCCCATGACAGATGGAATATTCCACCACAACCCCCCCCCCCCTGAGTCTCAACCACTATGCCATATGACCCTTGTGATTCATAAATTGTTTATTCCAAAAACATTATACGAACCAAACATCCTCAAAAAGATTTTACGAAATAATAATAAATAAATTGAGATAAGGAAACATAGACCAATAATTCTGATAGTGAAACAAAATTAATAGTACAATCGTTATCGATCCAACATCCACTTCTTGTTGGGCCTACGTTTTGCATGACATCGAGCTGAGAAGTTTGTTTAAGCAATCGACAGAGGTTTTGTCTTGTACATGAGTTATAAAATTGCAAAGAATCAAACTTTTATCGAGTAATACGAGTTTGAACTTGATTGATCAAGCTTTAACTGAATCAGAGTACGAAATGAGCTCAAACCAGATAACGAGCCAATTCAAGTTTATGAGAACTGAACTTTTTATTGAACATCTTCAAGCTATATGCCACCGTTAATCTTTTTGGTCTAAGGTGCTGTTTACCAAACGCTTACTTGGGTAAGCGCTTACCAAGTCACTTTTACTTTATCGGATGAATATGCCAATGACTAAGAATCTTACTCGGTAAGAGCGAAGTCAAGAATCTCGAGTCTTACCCAGTAAGTGAAGACGAGGACTCTTAACATAGTTAGCACTTACTAGGATAAATTGTTGCATACGATGCGTTTTAGTGAATAAAATCTTGCCCGGTAAGTATACGGTAGTGTTGAATTTTACCAGTAAGTGCTTAACAGTCCCCTTTATAGTGGAATCTTTTTACTATCTTAACTGTCCTACCACTTTATTTTGGTGTCTGCTACCAAAAGATGAAGATCTATGAAGAACAATCATAAAAATTAACTTGTTGATTATTTTTACATAACTGTATTTTGTAAATTAATCATTATGATAATTACTCTGTACCATTATCTACAATTTTCCAAGTAATTGATATGACGATGTCAATCTTTTTTAAGTCCAGTGCTTAAAAATAGCATGATAATAACTTATAAAATCTTATTTTGATCATAATAGTATCTACGATAAAGCACAAGAGTTATGCCTGATTGGTTTGAGCTTGTCTCCAAAGGTCAAAAGTATAAGGAGTTCCAAAGTTTAAATCCAAGGAGGAATAAAAATCTCCTCGTGGCCACGGAGGTTCAAATGCAGTGACTCTGGGCTATCTGTAAAACATGTAGTCGTCCTCAGATTAGTCGACTCGCATAGCGAATTGGAATTCCAGGTTAATAAAAAAAAGTATCTACAATAGATTTTTTAAAATGAAAACCCCAAATTTTAAGAATTCTTTAGAATTTAATTATAAACTAATTAACTGTAAATTACTAAAAAAAACCAGTTAAATTATAATATTATAAATTAATTAATTTTTTTGCCATCTTTGTCATATTAAATATTTTTCATCCTTTTTAATCTTTTATTAATACAATTAATGTTAGAATTGTTAAAATAAAGTAACGAGTTGTTTACCAAAATTTTTTATTAAGTCATGTATGGATAAATTTGTTTGTTTAGATAAATGGGTGGTGTTGTTTACATTTTTATCTAAACCAACAATCTGAATAACATAAATGATTTGCTCCCCAATATTAATTATTTGAACATCAAAACAAAAAATCATAAAGAGGTTGACGATGAGATGTCTCATTTAGAAAGGAGATGATACTTTAAATAAGGGGTAGGGGTGTCATTTTTGTGTCTGAATGAGGACAACACACTATTTCGATCTGTGCTATTAAGTCATATTCTGTGCGAATAAGCCGTAGATAAACAACCCAGATGAGCTGCGCGAATAAGCCAGATAGACTAATAAGCCTAATTAAGCTACAAGTAAACAGCCCCTAACTCTTTAAGTTGGATGTAATTTTTTTTAGAAATTTAACTTATGATACTCTATTTCTGGAAAAGTTATGGCATAGTTGTTGAAAATGTTCTCTGATAGTTTATTGCATTTCTAATTCTATGTTCTATCAAGTGGCGTTAGTTTTTTGAAAAATGCTGAAATCTGAAGTCTTATTTCACTTATGATTGATAAGAGTGATGCTGAAGTTTGAAATTTGAATCAATAAGACTGTTTGTTTTTCTAAATGATAAATGTTTGAATTTGTTTAAATTGTCTATTTTACCAATTAGAAAACTATAGTGTTGAATTTACAGATAAAAAATTATACAATTTCACATATTTATTAATTATCATTACGGAATTTACTTTTAGATTATATAATTAACATTTATTTAAACAAAAAATATACCACGGTATTTAGCACATTTAAATTCTATTAAAACGCATCAATTGAGAGAAATGATCGATTAAGTTTAATCAATTGAGAAATATTGTTGTTGAGGATCTGGAGAACAATAAGAAGTAAATAAGAGGTTAGTTTACTACCTCTTAACATACAAGAGAAATGCTTCTTAAAAATTAAAAAAATATATAGTTTGAATAACCTTAACGGGTTGTTTGTTTACCTCTTAATAGTTTCATTAAGAGACATCATCTGAATCGTTAAGAGGTAAATATTGTTTGACAAAAAAAATCTGTCTCTTAATAGTTCTAAGACCATCTGAATGATACTGTATCATGGGTCTTCCTTAACCATTTAGCGCCCTAATTTCATTGTAAACAATTATCAAACAATTATATTTCATTTTACACTATATCATGAGAGCTAATTAATCATTCTGCATTAATCATCAAGCAACTGCCAAACAGCCCCCGCCTTTTAATAAATCAGACATAAAAGATTATAAAAGTTCTTATTTAAAATCATTGGTTTTCCCTGACTTTGTTCGTGTCAACAAATATCTAAGGGGTTGTTTGACAGTTGCTGAATGGTTTGGTGCAAAATGATTAAGTGGTCAGAATGATTAATAAACTCTTATAATATAATGTAAAATAAAATATAATTATTTGATAATTATTTTAAAATAAAATTAAAATGCTGAATGGTTACAGATACAAAACCATTTAGAAGATTTTAGAATCATTAACTCCTAAAAATTACTAAATAAATTAGAGAAAATATGTTGTAAACCCTCCTCGATCAGAGGGGTGGATTGGCCGTGAATGTGATTGCAAAGGGACAAAGACAATCATGGTCCCCTCGTACTAAAAACCAAAAACCCTAGAAACATATTTCTTTGGACTACATTTTTGTTCTTTTTTCTCAGATCATCCATCGTGATATTGGCCATGGCTTCAAGATGCAACAGATTCATGAACAAAGCTTCAATTTCTTCTCTTAAATCCGCTTTTAAATCAACTTATATTCCCAAATCTGCGCCTTCGTCTCCAAAATCCCCTCTTCCAACCAGGTCCACCGCCTCGCCACTTTCCCGCTTCTTTATGTCAAGGTATCTCGATATGCATTTGTGTGTTCTTGTCTTTCTTGACATTATCTTTAGTAGTATTTGTTCAATCTATTTTTTTTATGAAAACTGCCAATGGATGTAGTTAAGATTCTATAGGTTCGTTGAAGGTTTTAAGCAGCTGATTCTTGTATGTTCTGTATACTTAGTCTCACAGGATTTATGGGAATTTGCATAAGCTATTCCTATTAACATGTTATGGAATAATATACTGTTCAGTGTAAGAGACACCTTGATTGAGTTCTGTGGAATAAAACATATGTATCATGCTAAAGGGGTGTGTCTTTAATAGGTCTCCATCGGAGCTAGGATGTGTACATTCCCTATTACCCCTACATAATGCAGTAGCTGCAGCAAGAATGACATCCTGCCTGAGCACCAGTTCAAGGAGTTGTAGATCTCTTTCACAGGGTACACTCTGCTGTACCTCTCCCAGCCTCTAAAATGTTATTTGTTATTTGACTGAGTCATTGTTTCTCCGATGAACAAAAAGTTTTGCATGTTCATTGTATGTGTTTGATTGTTGTACCGTTTATTGAAAGGGAAGGCCTTCATGTTGGATGTTTGCTTTAATGATTTGTTGGACCAAACTTGAAATAAATTATAATTATGTGGCTCATTGTCTGTGAAGGCTTGTTAGAGTGCGTGCCTGCTAATTATCAACTTAATCAATTCATTTTTGTTAACGGAAGAAGATATTTTATTTGTCAAGTTGTAGGTGATCTTTGAGAAAAAGGAGACATCATTTCACTTTCAATTGAATGTGCATTCTGAGACCTGACTGTTTCTGTTTGGATTTTGAGGTAGAAGATGTGAGTTGTTCATATGTGTGGTTTCAAATTGCATAATTTGTGATTTGGGTCTTATGTTTTGATTCTATTTATGACACACACAATGCAACACTCATTAGCAAATGAGAATCCTGTGTCATCCTAATCTACTGGCAAACACACTTCTATTGGAGAATCAAATTCTATTATATAAGGTTCACTGTAGATTAATATCCTATTTGTGTTGTTTCTCATGTGTGTAGAGTTTATTGGTCCAAACCTTACTAGTATTAACATGAATAGGAACCAGTTTTGTCAATATGTGGTAAAGTCATCACAAATGACAATAGCATCCTTGAGATTGATTTACATAATTATATTTTTTTGTATTTTTCATCACCTTCAGAGAATTTTTTATAACAACTATATGTCATGTGAGTATTTAAAGCATGAGATCCTACTTCCAAAACTAGCTTTCGGTTATCTTCGGAAAAGGAAAAAGTGCCCAGCGAACTCTTATGAGATGCATGTAACTTGATTACTTTATCTAATAACAATTCAAACAATGTTTTATTATCCTGGAAGTTACCTGATGAAGGTCACTCTTGCCTTTCTTTCTTCCCCAATGTGATTGATGCACATGGGAATGAACTAAATTGAGAGCCTAATCGAAATGGGAGTTGATGTTTCATCTCTTCATAATCAAATTTTGGTTATACTTCTAGGGTGAAGAGACATGTATACCGAGTAGACAAATTTAGATGCAAGTATTACAGAACTCACATAGGGTTCAGGTCTTCAGTTACTGCTAGAGTACAAACTGTTGTACACTTAAACCCCTCCTCCCAAAATATATGTTACATACTCCGTTTTAGGATTTCTTGAATTAGAATCATTTCTTAGAAGCAATCGACTAATTTATTCTTTGAAATGTCAACCCCACGCTGTCACCTTATATTTTTTTCAGTCTGTTTCTGGTGGTTGTCATCCACTTAAATGGTGAAAAATTAGTTATTCCCAAGTCCCAAGGACCATAACTAGAGTACAATTATATCCAAAAGATAGCTCACAGTCAACTTAGTTCTTGACCCCTATGAGAAACTCTGTGCATTTTATCTTGGAAAATGTTTCACATGAGCTAGAGATCGTTGAATGTACACCCATACAATTAGGGGGTGTTTGTTTAGAGGTATTAAACAATAATTAATGGCATTGAATACAAAAGAAACTGTTGGGTTTTATATAATACAATGGGTTCATTCCCCTACAAGCCCAAATTTTCATTCCAGGTTAAACTGGGGGGG